TCCGCCCCCTCCGTCCCGTGAACACCACCACGCTTGCCTCATCCGGACGCTTTCGGGGTTCCGCCTGGATCTGTGCTCCCCCAGGCGGAAACCCTTTCCTTTGCTCTGAAATAACCGCGTCCCGCCCCCCTTCGGCCCCGCACGCCCGGCTGACACGCGTCGCTGCTGTTTGCGCATCCGCCTCGCCCGACGGTGAACTCAAAAGCAGAAATGCGCCGTTCTCCTTGGCGATCGCACCCCGAGGCCCGGCACTCGGGGGCTGGCGAGCGTTTGTCGGATGAGGATGGGCGAGGACGGGCCCTTAGGTACCTGCTGGGACGTCTCGGCGTCGCCACAGGGACCACACACCCCGGGCAAACTGGGGCACTCGCCGGACGCTGGCTGATGCCCAGCACGTGCAGCCCCGACCGCGGAGCCCGGAGAGCGGAGCCCGTTCACACTCAGGCCGTGCGAGCCGGGGGCGGGGGGCTGCGACTCGCGGGGGACTCCGCCGGCGGCATCTCCGGCCCCGCTGGCTTCCGCATGTGCCTCCCCGTCGTCACGCGGCTCTGACAAGTGGCGGGGGAGGGGGCCTGGCTGGGCACGGGGCACCCCTGCGGCCGGAGGACGCCCCTGCTCAGCTCCACCTCACTAACCCCGAGTCCTCGGGAGGGGCCAGGAAGCCGAGTTGTGAATAAAAGTGTTCGATCTCTAGGACACAGCTTAGGATGGGCCGGAGTGCCAGGCACGGGCCTTCCAGGGGCTGGGGGACCCTGGGCCAGCCCCCTCCCTGCTCTCACACCCCGCCTCACACGTCCAGTGTCCTCTGGCGGCCTAGAAGCCACTCGGTCACACACAGGTGTCCGGGTCTGATGACAGTTCAGAGAGTGGCCCAGGGCCGTCTCCATGTTTAAAGAGCTCTTGCTTGTTTCTCTGACAAGCCGGGCGCTGGGCCTCCTCCCAGGAAACGCGTCTCTAGCCCACGGGGCTGACCGAAGAGCCCGGCAGGGGACATGGGTGAAAGGCTCTGACGGAGAAGCCCACTCACAAGGGGTGTCCCCTTCCCTGGTCTGAGGCTCCGGGGTAGGTGTCAGGGCCCCACTCAGAGAGGGCCCCGAAGGCCCCTGGTCAGCCCCTGCCCCGCCACGGCGGGCCCGCTCACCCCGAGCTGGAGTCGGGCCCCTCGGGAGGCCCTGTCTGCCGCCCAGCCCCTCATGTCTCAGGGCAGAGGTGCTCGGGGATGCAGTGTAGACACCTGCGAACCCGCGCGCCTGTGTCATGTGGGTAACATCTCCTCTGGTCATTCACATACACCAGCAGCAGCTGAGGACGGCTCTCTGCGGGACCAGACGTGCCCCACGTCCCCACAGCACGGAGGGTTTCGCAGTGACCGGAGGCAGACGATACTGCGTGCTGCCTTCCAGTCTGCACACGACTCCGGGGGAGACCGGGGCCGCCCGGGGGCCGCCTGGGGACATGCGGAGCGAAGATTTGTTTGGACGAAGAAGCAGAGCCTCACGCTGTCCCCGATCACAGGGTCTCCCCGGCCAGCGGCCTCCCATCGGCCCCCAAGGCTGACAGTGCCCCTGGGACGTGCCACCTGGCCCTGCCCGCGGCCTGCTGTAAGGGCGCCTCCCTGGGGCCCGGGCCCCCCGTGCCTGGCCCTTACCTCCAGCGGGACCACCTGCATGAGGATGGCGAAGTTGGTGAGGTGTGAGCAGCGGCAGACGGAGTGGGCCAGGCTCCCCTCGGCGAGGACACAGCCCTGGTTCGACCAGACGCCCTCTCCGGAGCTGCGGACACGGGAGAAATGATCAGAGGAGGCGGCAGCAACCTCGGAGCCCCTGCCCCCCGGGAGGCGAAGGCGCGGTCACCGCCCTGCCACGGTCACGTGGGCGGCACCTGGACCAAACCCAGTAAACAAGGACATGTCCTCTGACGGCCCGGCGTCCCTGCCAGAGCATCTCGGGGCTCCACGCACAGGGACACGTCCGAGCCTTGGTGACGCCGGAGACATAAAGTGACCCAACGTCCACCTGGGGACTGGATCGATAAAAGGCGGGAAATACCAAGACAGCCGAACGTGTACCAACCAGGGCGAAACCCAAAACGAAACGTATCACGTTAAACGCGTGAAACAAAAGGTCATACTTTCCGTGAACATGACCATGAATTATATATAAATTACTGAGAAAACTCCCCAGGGCGCTTATCTCCAGAGAGGGGGGAAGAGGCCAGGACGCATGGAACAGATTGGCTTTTTCATAATGTTTCGCTTTCTAACAGAACAACGTATCAGCGTATTACTTGTCCCGCTTCTTACAGTATAAACCGAGACGAAAATGACCCCAGGCAGATAAGCTCGGGTGAGCTTGACCCTTACGCCGAGGATGCGGCAGTGACAACTTCCTCCTCTGCTCTCTCTGTACTTCCGAATTTGAACAAAGACATTTCAATGGTTCTTCCCAGAAATTGCCACTTGGTGTTATTGGCGGGGACCTTGGGAGAAAGCGCTCATGAAGCCGAAGAAATTACAGGCTCCGGTTTCTCTGTCCTCCGTTCAGCTTTGCCGCCGCGTCAGCCGGGAGTGCGCCGGGGCGGGACGTGGCCGCCCAGCTCGGTGGCCGATCCTCAGTCCTGCAGCTCTGCCGCCCGCGGCCCTGCGAGCGCTTTTACTTTCTGAGACAGCGTGTCCCCGGGAGGACGCCGTGTGGCCGTAACTCTGGGCGGGCCTTGGGAAGGGTCGTCTGGAGGGGACTGGGCAGTGAGCCTGGCGCTGGGCCTCCGGACAGCAGCTTCAGGGCTGTTCCATGGTGAATGGGAGGTGGGGACACTTTGCAGAGAGCACGGCCCGGGCCACCGGACCCTACCCGTGTGAGGGGCACAACTCCACGCATCATGTCGGAATCAAAGGGACTTAAAGATGGGGTCGTGTCCTCCTCCCTCCCCCCTGTTCTCCTTTTGGTCCAGCGTCCCCAGGACCTGGAGGGCCGGCTGCCGTGCTGTGTGCAGCACCTCCATCTGTCCGTTGACGGTGAGAATGACATTCTTCACCTAGAAACTTAACAGGCGTCAAATTCGGTGGACACCCCCTGGGGGATGGAAAAGGTGCCTTCTGCTATGCAAAGGGTGGCTGGGAATCGAAGACCATGAGAGTCACATGTCCCCAGATGAAGCCACGAATGCGTGGCAATGCCTTATAGCCCCAAGTGGCATCGCCTCTGCGTGGGTGTCACGATCCCCTTTCCGGGGAGCCAGTGAAAACAGGGAGGAGGGCTCCCCGCTCGTGCTGAAATAAATCAGCCGCGGAAGCCAGGCCACGTGGTATCCGGGACGGGGAAAATGCGTGTGGCCCTGTGACCAGGGACGTCTGAGTTTAAGCAGAAACACGCACACGCTTACAGGACGCGTGTGCATCTCCAGATGATAGAGATACTCGCATGGCTGAGAAGACACGAAGGCAGAGCAAAGCGTGGGGGAACCACGCAGAGACACGAGAGTAAACAGAGCCACGTATTTCCTTTGAGCACAAAGATGACTCGCACCTGAACTTTTGGGAGAGCGCGCTAAAAATGCCCGCCCGCCCGCCCCCGCGCTTACTGCTGGGGAGACCACGCGAGGTCCCGGGGGAGAGCTGCTCTTTTATAACATTCTCTTTTATAAAAGAACGATGTGTGGATAGATCGCTTGTGTTAGCTCTTAAAGTGCATGGCTAGAAGAAGAGCTGAGTGAGAATATCCTTCAGAAATAAAAGAGAACACTTCATCAGACAAACACACGCGGATGTGTCGTGCCGCCAGTGACTCGCGCTACGAGCAAACGTAACGGCGTGGGGCACCAGGCAGAAACCTGGAGCCAGACCGAGACATAAAATAGCTACGAAGGGAAAAGAATAAAGGTAAATATGCAATTATTGTTTTCTTCATTTCACTTGCTCGAGGAGATAATTGCTTTAATTATCTGAAGCAAAATGACTAGCATTGTGCTGTGCATTTATAGCATCTGTAAAGGAAAACATATGGCAAGAATAGCACGAGGGATGGGCGAAAGGAATCGTGAAGAGGTTATTGTAGCGTCTTAGAATATACGTGAAGTGATCCAATGTTCCTTGAAGGTAGACGCCGATGAATCACAGACATACATTCCGTCCCTCTAATTAAAAAAAGGTATCGTTAGCAGTCAACGGTGAACATAAATGGCGTCGTAAAATATACACCCCCGAGTCCAAATGAAGTAAGAAAAGATAACAGGAGAAATAAAGATAGAAAACGAGAAACCAGCGGGCAAGAAGGCAGATCGAAATCCAGCGACGCCAATAACTGCACGAAATATAAATTATCTGAGCATCCTGACGGAAAATAGAAAATTCCAGATTGTATAAAAATGCCAGATGAGTCATGCGCCCTCTAAAAAGATCTCACTTTGGATATAAAGATTTCACTGGATTAAAACAAAAGGATGAGGAAAACGCAGCAAACGAACACAAATTAAGAAAGCCAGAACAGCTACACTGACGCTAGAGTACGCAAACTTCGGAACAAATACGTCCCTGGATAAAGGCGGACAGTGGACGACGACAAAGAAGCCAATTTTCCAAGAAGATGTAACAATTCGAAAGATATTTGTACCTAACAATAAAGCTTCCAGATACATTTTGAAAAGAACCAATAAAACGGAGAGAAGAAATACATCCATGCATGTTACGGTTCGAGAACTCACACTCACTCCTCTCATTAATGGACAGAACGAGAAAAGTCACAGAGTCACGGCAGCTCACGTGACCTAACTGACAGAACACTCCATTAAGAATGCATTCTTTAAGGGTACGTGGGAGACCCACCAAGGCCGAACATATCCTGAGTCATGAAACAACTTTCAACTAATCTATAAAAGCAGAAGTCATCTAAGGAATGGTTTCGGATCATAGAAATATTAATTAAAGTCAGTAGCAGAAAGATCTCTGGAAAACCACCCAAATGTTTGAAATATACAACACACTTCAAAACAGTACACGGGTTGAAGAGGAAGTCGTAAGGAAAATCAGAAAATATTTTGAATTTAATGTAAATGAAAACAACGATATTTGTAGGATGCAGCTAAATCAGAGCTTACAGGAAAATCGATAATGGTAAATGTTTAAGAAAAGAAGGAAGGTTTTATGTTAACAACTAAGCCTACGTTTTAAGAAATTTAAAAACAGAGAGCAAATTCAACCCAAAACGAGCAGGAAGAAGGAAATCGGTCAAGATAAGAGAGTCAATCAATGAAATCGAGAATAAAAATGCAATAAAAAGCAACGAAACCAAAAGTTGTTCCTTTGCAAAAAAACCAATAAAACGGATGAACTTCTAGTAAGAATGACTAAGGGGAAAAAGAGAAGAAGCAAGTCGAGCTATCGAAAACGAAGGCGGGACATCACCACAGACCCTACGGACACGCGAAGAGCCGATGAGGGAGTCCGTGCTGCACCACAACTCTGTGCTCATAAATTAAACACACTTTGAACAAATTCTTCAAAAAAAAGAAAAAAAAAAACAACGTAAACTGTCTAAACGCACAGAGAAATAGATGAGCTAAATAGCTCTGTATCTAACACAGGACTCAAACGTATATTTTAAAACCTGCCAATGACAAAAACTAAGGCCGAGATGAATTCACTGGTGAATTCTAACAGCTACTTCTGGAAGAAAAAATATTAGTGCTACGTAAACCATTCCAAAATGTACCTTGTACGAAGATACCACTAGCTTGCTACAGAAACCAAAGACATTACCAAAAAGAAAAAGAAAAGCTACAGACCAATGTCTTCCGTGAACACAGACACCCAGATCCGCCATCATTCCAGCAAATTAAATTCAACGACACATAGAAACACGATACCCCGTGACCAAGGGAGCTTGAAACCCAGGAACGCAAAGCTGGTTCTGGCTTCAGCTTTATTTATAGTCACTCGAACCCGGAGGCAAACCCCACACTCCCCTCCTGGAGAGCAGACTCAGCGGCACAGCCATGCGAGGGGACGCGCGGCGGACGCGGGCCACTCGCGGAGGGCGTGCGCCGCTGTGAGAAGCCAGGCCGACAAGGCTACGCGCTCTGCGCTTCCATTCCGACGGCCTTCCTTGCAGAGGCAAATGACAGGGACGGAAGACAAGTCCGTGGTCACAGGGCCCCGGGGGTGGCCGCCGGCGGACACGGGCGGACCCTTGAGGCTGATGGCATTGACCGGCAACTTGATCGTGCTGGTTACACAAATATAGTCCTTTGTGAAAACTCAGAGAACTGTGTAACAGAAAGTGTGGGTTTTTCTGAACGCCGACTGTGTGCTAAGAAGTAATGGCTGGGAAAGCAGACGGGGGACGCGGGCACTGCAGTCCCGGGGGCGGCCACCTCCGGGAGCTGAGAGGGACAGGACAAGGTGGCAGTGACCTTTAATATCGTCTGGGACATTTCGGTTGTTTCATTCTTAAAAATAGGAACATGCTAATAATTACAGATCTGGGGCGCCGGCCGCCTGCATTCATACTCGTCTCTGTTCTTAAAATGTCTTCGAAACAGAACCAACAGGCCGCGTGGGTCTCTCCAAACCCGTTTCCCCTCTTCTATCCATCACATCCTTCTCTCTATGAGCAGTGCCCCAGAGAGCAGGATAACTCCTTCTGGGAAAACGTGCTTCAGAATTTTCATAATTTACAAAGAGACCGATAAAAGGGCTCTAACTGGCTGGGCGTGGCCGAGGTGAACACCTGAAATCACGGGCCGTCGCCCACGCTGTAGCCGGTGTGAGGGGTTAAAAGTCGCATTGCTTAAAGTCGCGGTCAGAGAAAGAGACCAAAGATAAAGGCATTTGCGGCCATTACGCAGGACGGGCTGCCCTGTCCCACCACTGGCGGAGTGGAGGTAAAGGGGGGCCAAGCAGACCCGCCACAGCCCCCCAGCCCAGGACCTCGAGTGTCCGGCGCTCTGACGGACGCAGCCCTTCTCTGGGGAGGGGGCCTGGCCAGCAACGGCAGCGGCGCCCTGAAGCAGCTGTGGAAGGACCTGGGCGTGGGGCTCAGGCGCAGAAGCCAGGACGATGGGGGGTGGGCGGCCATCGGGGTGTGGGCCAGAGGCTCTGGGTGTGTCCTGTCTGCCTCTATGGAGTTTTAAGCTTTACATAAAAACTCAGCCTTGAACAGTCAGTCTGGCAATACGGCACAAGCCAGAGGGACAGAATGAGGGGCTGGGAGGGTCCGTGACCTCCGCCCACCCCACCCCCTTCTCTCAGTCACTGACAGCCCCTCCCTGACCGCAGGGACCCATCTGCCCCCCTGCTCAGCATGGGAGCTTTGCAGTGGGCTCGCATCCAGAGGGCATTGCAATCAGAATGATGTCAGCAGAAGCCCCACATGGCGGGCAGGTGAGCCCATGCAGGTGAGCTGGATGGGATCCGGGAGGGAGGGTACGGGGGTGGTGGGAAGAAGGGCGCCCCTGGGCCCAGGACCGAGTGGCAGAGGCTGAGGGCTCACGGGTTTCTGCGGGGACCGGGCCCACCCGAACAGCATCACCGCCCTGAGGCCTCGGCGCCTCTGCTGAGCTGGGTACTGTTTTCAAGGTCACCCTGGGCTTCAGAGGCCGTCCTGGGAGATGCCCTCACGTGGTCTAGAGAGAGGCTGCCCCAGCACCCCCTCTGGCCCTGCCCGAAGCCACAGAGGACAAACTGTGTGGCTTCCAGGAACGGGACCCCGGATCAGGCCTGTGCTGAGCGTGGGACTGGACGCCGGCACCACGTGCCCCTCGCCCCTCCCCCCTCCGCCCTCCCCTGTCCCACCCTCCAGACGTACCTGAAGTCCAGGAAGGCGCAGTACAGGAAGACGCGGTTGCTCTCGTTGGTGGCCTCGCTGTACTGCCTGCCAGTCTGCAACGAGAGGCGACAGCTTCGTGACACAGCAGGAGGGGCCGGCCTCAAGACAGCAAGGCCAAGGCCGCTGACGCACCCCCCGCCCCCGTCCACCAGAGACGGCCGGCCCTCAGGCCTTTGCAGTGCCCCGCCCTCCCTTGAGAACGCTTGTCCCCCAAGACCACCCGGCTTCCTCAGGCTTCTGCACCCGGTCAGTCCCTCAGAAGCAGTCCCCTCTCCGCCGCCCAGAGCCTGGCCTCCCGCCCGCCCCCGGCCGCACGGCCGTGGCCCCGTCACCCCGCAGCAGCCTGCCCCGTCTTCGCGTGCTGATTTGCTTGCCGTCTCCCCCTCTAGAATGTCACTGCACAGCCCCAGTGCCCGGCACACGGCAGGTGCCACTTAACGTCTGCCGAATGAAGGGACAGAAGGGCGGACAAGCGGGCACATCGTGCCCGTTCCCGGGACAACCGTTCTCTCCTCAGACGTCCTGGACTCTCCTGGACGCCAGCTCAGGGCCCCTGGCCGCAGCTACTCTGCCCTAAACAGGACCCTTCCAGTGACTGTCACCAGGAAGCTCTGGGCCGGCAGCTCCACAGGGAACCCGGGCTGCTCGCTGGACAAACGGCCTCTGATCAGTTCCTGATCAACACGCCAAGTGCCTCTAACTTGACCCCTCAGAACTCAGGCCATGCTGCAGCCCAGGAGCTGTCACTGTCCCCCATGTCAGGGACGCCCACCCGGCCGCCCGTCTGCAGGGCCGGGTGGTGGGGACACAGCCCTCCCCAGCTGTCCTAACTCGTCACACACAGACTCTGCTTTCCCGGGCGGCACGCGTGGGCGGCGGCAACTTGACGGCCCCCGAACCAGCGGGCCCTCCGGCACCCCGCACTGCATGATGTTCCGTGGCCTCCCCGTGGGCGCAGACGACCGCACCACTGCTGCTCACTCCTGCCGTTTGGGCCGGACGCGGTCTCCTCCCTCCGGGACACGGGGCTGTTTTAACACGTCGCAGGCGCTGGAAGCCACCTGTCCCTGGGGACCCCGCAGGTCCCCGGCCAGAACGTCCTTGCAACTGCGGCCACCTGCCGTGTCGAATGTGCCACCTCCTCCTTGGGGAGGCCTTTCCCGTGGCCACCCCACAGCCCGCCCCCTTCACCTGTCTCCACAGCACCGGACAGCGTCTGGCACACCCGGGCCCTGCTCGCTGGTCCCACCCGCGTCCCCGGCTAGGACAGCGCTTCCCGGGCAGGGACCTCTCCGCCTTGATGCCGCTGTGCCCAGGGCCCGCGTGTGGCAGCTCACGCGGGACCTGACTGGCCAGTCTGAGGGCTGCAGAGCAGGGAGAGGCAGGAGCCAGCCCCGACCCTCGCCCGGTGCCTGCGCGACGCCTCGGCCTGCCGTGCCTTCGTGCCCAGATGGCAGTGTCTGCGGCCACTTGGCACCTCGGAGAGTCCCCGGTGGGGAGACTGTGACGTGAGGACCCCACAGAATCGAAACTACAACTAGGCACCTGGAGGGCTCCACCCGGCGTCCCGAGGTCTCCACGGCCCTGGACCCGCACCCTCCAGGACGGCCGCGCACGCCCTCTGCAGCAGGAGGTGCGTCTGCGTGGTGCTCGCGCCACGTGGCTGGCGTGAGCCAGGAGTAGGGAGCCAGCGCCAGGCCCCGTCCGTGGGTGGCCCCGAGGACCGAGCCGGCTGCTCCCGCTCCCACCCTAACCCCCACCCTGACTGCCCTGCAGGCGACCTGAGGATGCAGCCCTACCCAGAGCCAGTGTGTGGCCGGAGTCAGGCTCGTTCCGGGGCTGAGGTCACCCCGGGACAGAATCCCCGCCCCGCCCCCACCATCCATCTCCGTGGGAAAGCGGATCGCCTCCTGCGCGTCCGGAGTTTGCAGCCGAACTGGAAGGGAGGCTGAGCGTCCCCAGGAAGGGGGCCTGGAACATCGTGGGCCCCCGAGTGCCTGTGTTGAATGAGGGCCGTCCTGTCCTCACCTGGCGGCCAGGGGCTGGGACATGGGGTGCCTCGAACCCCCGAGTCCCGAAGCTGAGGGACCCTGCAGAGCTCTGTGGGGACGGTGAAGGCCTCTGACAGAGGGCTGGCCCCGACCGCCCCAGACGCCGTCACTGGTGTGTCCGATGGCTCTGGGATGTCCCGCCTGGTTCCGAGGCCCCAGGGACACTGTCTTTGCCGCCAGTGTGGGGCTCCGGGACCCTCCACTGGGAATTAAATTCCAAACTGTGGTCCTTGCAGTCCCCAGAGGCTCCTCGTCTGTGACCCCTCAGGGCACTGGTGGGTGGGGCGGGGCCCAGGGACCCTGCTCACCACAGGTGGCCTCAGCGTGTCAGCCTGGGGACAGTGAGGGGACCGCGGAGGAAGTGGCTTCCGTGCCTCAAGCGAACAGTGCGGGAAGCTCTGTGTGTCCCCTGCAGGCCTGGCAGAGTGGCTGCCTCGAAGTCGCACACGTGGCACTGGCCAGGCGTCCCCACGCCCAGGGACCCGGGGAGTTCTCCGCGGAGAACCCGCTAGCTCGGGCCTGCCGTTTCTGCGTGTGGCATTCCCAGCAGTGACAGAGGTGGGGACACGGACAGGCGGAGCGTGAAGCAGGCGCGGACAGGGGGTGAGAGCACTCAGGGACGAGGGCTGCCGTGAGCCACCGTGGGCTGAGCCGCAAGCTCAGGACAGCCGGACGCCTGAAGTTTTGGGATTTTGTCATTTTGTGCTTTGCCCGACTCTAGGGTCGTTGCTGTGGGACGTGTTTCCAGGCCGGTCCATGTGGAATCGAGCCGCCCGCCCTGGCCTCGGGCGTCTGACCTTCAACTGCGCCCGCCCCACCCCCGTCCCCCCGGAGGAGCAGCACGGAGACACCAGGCGTCCCCACAAAGCCCCAGGGGGAGGCCCCCGCCCCGGGCCAGCGGCGACTCAGAGGTGTCTCAACACTGGACTAGCTGAACTCCGCACGGGGGCCTGGGCCTCGCCGCTTCGCCCGCTACGGGGACAGCAGGTGACAGCCTCGCTCTCGTCATGGTGGACGG